TTCACAACTATGCACAGCATGGCAATTGTGGAGGCAAAGGGGAAAACAAAAGAGTTTAAAAGAGTTTAAACAACATGGGAAAAAGAAAGAAAGGATATGGCATCACTCCGGGCTCTCTCTCCTCAGAGTCTGCTTAACCACCAAAGGCAGAAGAACTTTTTTACACGAAAGCAATCTGTAAGTAAAACAAATTTTCCTCCCACTTCCAACAAATTTGCAGCCCTTGAATCACTCAAAGGGGACTGTCAAACAGAATTGGACAAAGAACAGAAATAAAAATAAGTTTAAAAATAAGATACAACATGGGAATTTGGAAAGGTTCCCCTAGGAAAATACAACGGATTTTATGGCAAAGTAGTGCACAAACTGTTGTCTTGTTATGTCAACAGCTGTCAGCTATAAAATTTGACCTAGTTTTGCTGAAAAAAGACTTTGAGGCTTTTGTTCAAAAGTATGCAGCCAAAACTACCACTTCCATTCAGGCTTATGCCGAAGTTCACGCCAAGCACTATGTTCCTGGCACGTGCTCTGATAAAGGGCAAGTCGTTACAGTAACACAAACTGACAAAAATGTGCATCAGGCAAATGATTGGGTTAATAAATCCCTGCTTTCTGACAAGGTAAAGAGCGGTGGTCCTGTACACTCCCTGCAAGCTAAACCATTCATTTCAGACCCAACAGGTTGCTCTCTGTATCTCCCCGAATGGTCTCAGTACTGGACGTTGGGATTCCAGGAGAGCAATTAAAACTTCTCTACGACAACTTCTTCACTGTCAATATGGACAGATAGATCCAAGTGCCATTGAATGGTTTCCTACCATTGAAAACCGAAAACAGATTTTGTTATCTTTTCATCAGTCCACTATCCCACTAATGCTAATTAAGATGAGACCATACTTAGCAGCATTTCAAATGTTCCCCCTCAGAGTCTTTCACGATGTAAAAGCTAATTCCTTGTCTGGTTTTACCTTATCTGGACTTCATACCCACTCCAAAACTTTAACAGATGTCAGCAAGCCTTCCCTTCCCTCCCATAGGGCCTTGCAAAAGCAAGACAGTGGGAGTCAGCCACTCTTACTGAATGAAGATGTGTCAGATCCAGCTGAAGCTGGCCTTATCAGTGCATTTGGTTGAAGAAAATCATCAAATACATAAGCTGGAAAATCTTAAGAAGCCCTTACTGGTCACTGTTGCTACAGCAGAGGCACATATTCACCTCGTGTCTCCAAATGCTGACTCTAATTGCCATTCTTTGGCGGATAACGGAATGGATGGAAACATCTAAATCCAATCCTTCAAGCGCTTGCTGTTGCAGCCCCTCATCCACCCATTTCGGCTGATTGTGCGATCCCAGCGCAACGGTGTGCTGATGGTGGAGCTATGATGGCTCCTTCACAAGCGGGAATGAGAAAAGCTCTTAGGGCTCAAGCTCTATTTGGCACAGAACCCAAACTATCAGTAAATTATCAGAAAACCAAAGTCCTAGTTTTTGCCCGACACTGTCATAAATTTCACAAATGTCAAATGAATGGGATTCAAATTGAACAGGTGTGTACCTGTAAATTCCTCGGAGTACATTGCCACGCATCCTTATCCTGGAACGCTCATGTTTTCTACTGGGCAAATCTCGCTCAGCGTACCTCTTCAGCTATTGTAAAATGTTACTATTCAAAAGGAGCCCATTATATCTCTGCAGCTTGCAAAGTCTTTCAAGCCAAGGAAGTCCCTCAGCTTCTCTATGGCTCTCAAATTTGCTCCTTTGCGAAGCTTAGTATTATCGAAACCATTCAAAATAACTTTATTAGAGTCATAGGGATGGTTCCAAACAGTGTTGAAAATGCCATCCTACGTTTAGATACCGGCATTACAGTGTTAGTAATCCTCTCCTCCCTTCTTTTGCTGCTTTCCTGATAGAAGCCATTTCCCTTCTCCTTCTTCCAAAAAAGAGATAGCTAAAAAGGATCCTTAGTTTCTTTTTCCTTTCTGTATATCCTTAACTCTTTAATCCCATTCAATATATGCTACAGTCTCTGAACTTTAATGATGATCCCTTGTCTTTTTTAGAACTATCCAGCAATAATTTCTCTTGGAAATCCCAATTTGTTTAATAAGCTCAAAAATGTTTTAAAATAAGCAAAATACATTAGTCAGCTAACCCCTTTATCCATTTTCAATTTTCATAGTCCACACTCTTAGCAAGCTATTTGCTGTAAATTATTTTGAAATATTTGTATTTCTTTTCCTTTCTATTTCCCTTTATTCATGCTCCAGGTCATAGGAGCACTCACCAGAAGTATAGTTTTTTTTATTTATTTATTTATTTATTTATTTATTTATTCATTCATTCATTCATTCATTCATTCATTCATTCGCTTGCTTGCTTTATACAGCTGCCCATGTCACTACTCTGCTTCTCTGAAGATCTGTATAGCTTTTAAATAGTTATAATGCAAATGTGTTTTAGAAAGTGGAGTTTGGGCAAACCTAGTGCCTTTTCCAGGCTCTGCTGCAGCGAGTGACTTTGCTCTTTCTTCCTTGGCTCCTGGGTTTCCTTGTGAAGAGCTGTCTTCCAGAGGACACGTGTGTGGTCTCTTTGGGTTCTCCTTGTCCGGAGAAGCTCCACTGATCAAGGTTTGCTCCTAGTTGCAGTTCTCTGCCTGGATGTCATACCTGTCCTTTGGAGCTGGGTCAGTCTGCCATTTTCCTCCATCTGGAAGCCTCCACCCTGTTGGTGATCCAGAGGGCCTTAAAGAACTGGCTGTCCTCCCAGGCCTTGGGAAAAGGTGGCTGGATCCCCTTGTGGAGTATATCTGTCTATGATTTCTGTGTTGTTGGCTAGATTTGCTATTTTGTTCCCTACGTTGTTGTGGTTTTTTAAATTTGCTCTTTATTTAGCTTTTTCCCTTTCCTTATTAATATTGTATTTTATACTGTTTAAGTTTGTTTCTTCAATTTATATTGTGAGCCATTCAAGAGTAATTATGGGGCTCAGCAGTTCCTATATCAAATGAATGAAATTAAATTAAAATAATTAAATATGTTTCACCACCCTTACCACCCCAAGGTAATCCTTAATAAACGCTGTTACCTATGCTTGTTTGGACTCACTCCTCATATTCCTTCAGTGGCCATCTAAGCATCTCTGAAATGTTGGTTTCATCTCTAAAAATCAGTGAGTTCTTTTATATCCACATGTATAGAGAGTCCACATGGGCACAATCCAATTCAAGGCTGATGTCATTTGCTCATTCTTCACTAGTCATTAAGGTCTCTGCTGAGTCTTGTACCAGAAGTTCAGAAATTTACCTAAGTTCTCCAAGGTCTATCAAGTGTCCAAGAAGAACCAGTCAAACAGATCCCACCTGCTGGCAGTGGAAGCCATTTCTTCATTTTTCAGTAGTGACTAGTGCCAATTATTTTTATTTTTAATGAATCTATTATTAAAAATAAAAAAAGAAATCTCCAAATCTCAGCAACAAAGAGGTTGTGATCTGTCCATAACAAGAGCTTCATAAATTTTCCTAAGTCCTCCCAGGTGTCCAAGTCTATCAGGTGCCCGGGGAGGACCAGTCAAATCGGTCCTACCTGCCGGTGGTGGAAGGCGGCCATAGAAATGTCCAACACAAAGAGGGAGAGGTCTGTCCATGACAAAGGACCAATGCCTATGTTTTGGAACTGTATATCACATAGTTGCTGCCCTGAGTCAGCTAGTGTGGGACGCCCCTTTTATGAGACCATCAAAAGGTCCAAGGTTGTCACATGGCCATGAACTCCTGAGGCACCTCTTTTCTGAATCAAGGAAAGACGGGATGAAATTCCTCAGGAGGATAAACCTTGGAATAAAATAGGTCTGGTAATGAAGATGCTTCATCGCGGGAAAGTTGGTATGCAAGCAACAATCACAATGGATTTCTATGGGCCGCGTTCACAGATAGGATCTTATGTTATTTGTGGAATGGCACTCCTGGAATCCTCCAGAATCTCTTGGAAGACAATGGTTACAAACACATCCTTCCCTGGAATATCAAATGTTGATGTACCCTTAAATCAGATGTCCCTCCCACCAAACATACACACCCAGCCAGTTCTCAGTAATGTATGTCGGGTCAGCCTTATTACACATCAAATGAGCATTCGGTATCAGCAAGCAACACCTGGGCCCAGGAAAGCTCTGATGGTCTCAGGGTGAAGCAACACTGGACAAGTTGGGCTGTTGCTCTTGTTAGGTATCAAAGAAATTATAGCTCCCTTCCAAGAAAAAGGAAGTTCTTGGTGTTGCTGAATCTCATTTGTTGCCTGAGTTAATACTTTGATCAGAATTTCCTGATTATATACTGTAGTCTAGAGCTGGATGTTTTTCCATCATTATTATTACCACTGCTACTAAGAATATTACTATTTTATTGTTTTTTGAAGAAAGGATACAATTGATAACTAGGGATAACAAGCAAATACATGAATTTGCACTTGGGACTATTGCAGAACAAATTATATTGCTTTTTAAAAAAGGAAATAACATTATTCTTTTTGATTAAAGGAAAAGAGACAGAAAAATTCTACATGAAACAGAAGTTGAAGCAGAGAAAAAAAAAATTAATAAAAGAAAAAGGAAACAAATGGCCCAAAAGAAAAATGCAGTAACAGC